CAGGGGCTGTGTTCCTGCCAGGAGAATAGGTTCTGTCTCCTTAGTGGCTCATGACCCCAAGGCTTGTTCACTCAGCCCTAGTCGTGGGACTCCTTTGTCCATTAATGAGGCTATAGTCCCTGAAACCCGGCAGGATGGCTCCCAACAAGGTCCAATTCCAGATATTGACAGTGGGAAGGGAGAAATAGGGATATATTTGAAAAACTTTTTGAAAGAAGATTCTATAGAAGTTATAGACTATTTAGACATTTAGGTACCTGGCTTTGATTTAAAGCTAATAAGCAACTAGTAGAATTCTAGAATGAATAGAAAAGAAGATTAAATTAGGCTAGAGCTCTGGGTTGGGTGGGGAGATTAAACCCATGAGGTAGATGGCCTGGAGGCCTGAAGCGATGAGGGCTGCATTCATTCCATGGGCTGTTGTACCAAAGTGCCGCACACTGCGGGCTTGAACAATGGAAACTCGCTGTCTCACAGTTCTGGAGGCTGGAGGGCTGAGGTCCAGGTGTCTGCATGGCTGGTCCCTCCGAGGGCGAGGGGGGAGGCTTCTGCTCCAGGCCTCTCTTCGAGCTTCTGATAGCTTCCAGCCTTTCCTGGCTTGCAGCTGGCACCCTGCTGATGTGTTCATGTCACCCCTACCTGTGCATGTCTCTCTATGTCCAAACTTCTGCCTTTTACAAGGACACAGTCATAGTGCACTAGGGCCCACCCTCATGCCCATCTTCACTTGATTATCTTCACTTGATCATCTGTGAGCCTACTTCCCAGGTCGGTCACGTTCCCAGCTGCCAGGATTATAGACATCAAAGATGAAAGCCAGGTCGCAATGGGATTAGGGGGTAGGTGTATGGAAAAAAGAATTGCATGGGAGGTGAGGAAATTAGTCTTTCAAGACATTTGGATTGAAAAAGAAGAAGGAAAAAGAGGATATCATCTGTGATTTTCTCAGCAACCTCCTCCACAGGAAAGGGAATAGAAATAGGTACGGGAGTATATGTTTGAGTATGCGTGTGTGTGTGAGAGAGAGAGAAACAGATCTATTGATGAATGGCTTCAGTTTTATCCTCAAAAAAGGAGGCGTGATCATTTACTTAGAGTCCAGGGAGTAAGAGGTGGAGGTTGGTGGGGGAGGACAGGCAAGGGAAGACTGGTGAAAATCTCAAATGATTCCTGGAGAGGAGATGACCATTGGCCAATGAAAGGACAGACAGACAGAATTAAAGAGCTACATCAGATCAGGAATGTTAAAAATCAGTCTGAGCAAGGGCGACAGTGTGAATGGGGTGTGAAGGTCATTGGAGGTGAAGAGGTCAGAAACAAGACTGTGTTTTCAGTGGGTGTTTCGCAGAAATGCTGCCGTTTCCTCGGGTGGCAGGAGCTGAGGGAGGGGCGGACTGTGAGCCAGGCTATGTGCGTGGGGAGCACCCTGGAGCTGGGGGATGGAAAGAAGTGGGAAGTGTGGGGTGACACAGTGAGGGCCATGGGCCTGAGAGCAGGAGGGATTTAACAAGAGGCAAAACACAACTAAATTTCTGGAGCTGCTCCGGGCACCTGGCAGAATGCTGGGGACCCGTAAGTAAGACCCATGGTGTGGGCCCAGTGACAGGCTAGTGGAGCAGGACAGAGGCTATGTTCACCAAGAGGAGGAAGCATAGATGGCAACACGGATGGTGGCTTGGGTGAGGAGGAAGCCCTACTGTACTTTGGGGCAGAGAGCCATGGCGTGCGTGGGGTAACGACAGCAAGGCTTGGATTTGACCGAGCCGCAACATCCCTGATTTGGCTCCACCGTTTCTGTGAGGGAGCTGGCTGAGAGCGCTGGAGGCCACCTGCCCCTCCTCCCACTGCGGGATGCAATCCGGACCTCCCTCTGGACAGGGCTTGCTCAGCATGGGGAGCAGGGCCGCGGGTCCCATTCTCAGGGCATGCACGTGTCCTTCATGTCTCGTTTGTTAACACACCGCTTTTGGGTACCGGTTCACCTTCCTTCAGACAGCTCAGGATCTTTTTCTTCTTTCTAGCCTTATTCTTGGACTACTTCTATTAGTCTATGAAAGAGTCAGTCAGCTGACTGTTAGACTAAAGCATCCTTTCATTTCACTCGGTCAAAAGCGAAGCCAGAATTGGAGCTCTTGGGTACATTTGGATGTGGGCATGTGGCTGGGGACAACAGTCAGGGAGCGAGGCAGAAATTACAATGAATGCACCAAATCTGGAGGAGGGGCAATGGACTGGGGAGGGCTGGACACTGGGCAGTGGTCAATCCCAAACCAGTGGGTCGCAGCCGTGAAGCTGGTGAGGTAGGTGTGCATTCTTACAGGGAGCGCGTCAGAGGTAACACAGCAGCGTGGTACATCAGCCTCAGAAAGGGCTTGTTTCAGAGACGGCTTTTGTAAAAATAAAGACACAGCTTTGCTTTGGCGGGTCTGAGCCCTGAAGGAGAAAATACAGTGAGCACATCAGTCTGGAGTGTGGAGGGGACGAGAAAAGGCAGATCCTGGCAGGAGTTAAGCACATTGATGTGGCTCATCTCCTGTGTCACGCACAGCTCTGGTCAGTCCGTGATTCTTGATTTCTGGGACATTTATATGTGTCCTTGTACCTTCCACTGAATATCAAGTTCTTTTGGATGGCAAGTCTCTCTCTCTCAAGAAGTGACTTCCGAAGCAGGATGTTAAGTCCTGCGTTTATGAATGGTGTCCACTTTTCCCCACGTTAGGTCTGAGGCAGACTCGGGTCCCATTCCTTGGCAAGCTGGCTGTCTTCATTTGCTCTGATTTAACGTCTAAAATGGTGTACATGTGTTATAATAGGTGGACATCCTACAAGCAAGGTGGACGCACTGACCCTTTTTGGTTCAGGGAATCCTCTGGACAAAATCCTTGTTTTCAACAAAACAAGGCGTTGTTCTATCCATTCGGTTAATGACTGGTTCCAACTGTCTCAGGCATTCTAATGTGTGTTCTCTTCCTTGTACTCGCCAGCTTCCATCTATATTTCTGTGGAGTGCAGGGGTGACCACACCCAGGGTGCCAGCAGCAAGACAGAACCACTGTCACCTGGAAGGATCGTTTTTACGGCTGGGCGAGGAGAAGTGGGAGAGGAGTAGAACCAGCTAACGAGCTCTGTGGAGGGGGAGGAGGCCTCCTGGCGGGTGCTCAGAGCAGACCGGCGGAGCTGCTGGGTTGAGGGAGGACAGAGAGGGGGCAGCCCACACTGTACCGGGCGGACAGAGACACCAGGAACACACAGGTAGCCCAAAGAAACCGAACCAGAGCCAGGGGATCTGGGAAAGAGAGAGAACCATTAGGTTAACGGCTCCTTATTTTCTTGGGAACTCTGGAGTAGTAACGGGGGAGGGTATGGCTTTTCTCCCGTGGTACCTGAGCTGTGCAGTGGCCCAGGCTGGTTCTCCCTGCTCTTTCCTTTTTCCTTTTCCCTCCCCCTCCCCTCTCTTCTCCCTCTTCTCCCATCTGCTCCCTCCGCCCCTTTCTTCCGGCCTGCTGAAATATCTCCATGTCAGAGAATTGTTTGATACCATCACAGCTCCAAAACATCAATTTGTCAATGCTGGGAACTAATGATTTTTTAATCAAGGAGAAGGGGAAACAGGATATGACTAATGTTCAGGGAAAAGCAGGCAGCAGTCTGAAAAACAGTGTCTCCAGGAAAGCAGCAGAAGGAACACCCCTCCGATGGACCACATCCGACATCACCTCATGGAAGCGGATGATTTTGGGGGGCTGAGAACTGTTTTTCCAAGATATTACAACTCAATAAGAGAGGGTATTTTTCCAATCCATTTTCTTCCAAGCCTCTCTGGTGGTTCCAAAGCAAAATCATTTTTGTTTCTTTACTTCTATTTTTCCTTTTGGTCCTGCTCCGAGGAATACAGAAACGGCCCTTGGGATCTCTGCCCCTTGGGCAGTGTGCCCCCCGCACGTGGGTCAGGTCGATGGCATCAACCGTGTGGTTGGGAGACCGAGCAGGCGAGAGGAGAAGGGTCCTGCTGCTCTAACACGAGCCTCTGGGGTGGGAGGTTCATTGTCCGCAGCTTGTCTGCTGGAACAGCAACTGTGAAGCGCAACCCGGCGCAAGCCGAGTGAACTGTCGTTCCAGCTGAAGCTGTGGTTTCGCTGTCCCTTCTTCGAAGAGCTTGTCAGTGAGCATGGCCCGCTTTCTGCGCTCATGGTAAAGTTTTACGCTTCCCTGATGCCAGGCAGACTATATATAAGCTTATGAAGAGATCACATGAGCGTTTCCCTGTCGTTTTTTAATGGGCCATGGGGCATGTGTTAATGGACCACTGACTCTGTGTGTAAACATAACATTGCCACGTGCTTTGAAGACCACCAATGAAGATACTTGGTCTCACAAGGTAGTTCAAGTAGGGGTAGAGTTTCTGTGGGTTAAGGGACTAGAAAGAGAAAAATGTATATGTAATTAATATTTCTTGCAGTAGCTTTGTGATGTCCTCTCCTACCTATCACTCATCTCTTGTTTTCCTCTTTTACTTTCTTTTGTAACTGCTACCTCCCCGTTAAACAATGCCTGGAAACAAGCATGCACTGGAATAAAGATTCGTTGGTCGTTCTATCTCAGTGCTGATTGTACAGTGGGCTGGAGAGAGCCAGGGCCCGAGAGGCAGGAGGCCCTCTCCAGCACGGCCTGGGGGTCATTCTCGGAGCACAGGACTGGGAGTCTCATTGGGTTTATCTTGAAGAGATTACCCGGGTGTGGAGTGGGGACTTGAACATGAGGTCCAATACTGAGGGCTCACGTAAATATTGTAATGCTAACAAGGTAGCACATCACTGACCTTGGAATAATATCCCCACTGTGTGCTGGTGCCTTTTTTGTGCACTTCCTAACCGTCTGGTCTCTGTCTCTCTGTCCCCCTGAAGGCAGCACTGGGGGTGCCAGAGTCTGCGTGGTGCAGTGCTGTTCCCCTCTGCGTGTGGACCCCATGTGACACTCTGCCCCCTCTCTTCCCCCCCCAGGACCTACATGAGTGTGAAGGAGCTGAAGCAGGCCCTGCGGCTCAACAGCACACACTTCCTCAACGTCTACTTCGCTAGCTCAGTGAGGGACGACCTTGCAGGTGCTGCCACCTGGCCTTGGGACAAGGACGCCGTCAGCCACCTGGGTAAGTGCAGTACAGACCAAACATGGTTGCAAACAGGAGGTGGCCCAAAGAGAGTTTGTGAAAGTGAGTTTGGGGGGAAAAGAAAGAAAAAAACATACATTTTACTCAGTGGATTAGCTCTTTTGGCTGAGGATGGCTTTTGGGAAGGTCTGTCTAAATGTTTCGGTGCAGACAAGTGGGAGGCGCTAGAGCAAAGGGCGGGAGGTGCTTAGGATGTTCCAGACCGAGCCTGTAATCGGGATGTAGACTCAGAGGTGACGTGGGACAGGATCCGTTCTACGTCTGGGAGGCGTAACCTATTAGACCAAAGGAGTGAAGACAGGAAGAAGTAGTCTGCATAAGAGAAAAAATAAATAACTCAGAAAGTAAATTAGAAAACATGAACAGAGCCAGAAGTTTTGGGGGGAGGGAAAAGGAAAGGATTGATGAACCCCTAGAAGGACTTACGCACGAAAACACAGGAGAGAAGGACTGTGTGACCACGAAGGGAATGAAGGAGGTGAATTCTTACATACACTGCAGACATCACTAGGCAATGAGTATTCTTCACAAATGTCGTTGGAGGAATTGGACTTCCATGGGCAAAAGAAAATGAATCTTAATGTGAATCTCACACTTTGTACAAAAGTGAACTCAAAATAGACCATGGATTTAAATATAAAGGATAAAACTATAGAACTTTGAAAAGAAACATAGGAGAAAATCTTTAGGGCAGGCCTGCATGAAGAGGAAACTTACACACAACACCAAAAGCACAGTCCACATAAATAATAATGGATAAATTGACCTTCATCAAAATTTACAACTTCTCTGAGAAAGACAAGACAAACAAACGTTAGACTTGGAAGATACAGTTGCAAACCATATATCTCACAAAGGATTTGTATCTAGAATATATAAAGAACTCTCCAAAATCAAAAATAAAACATTTCAGTTAGAAAATGGACAAGAACAGGAACAAACTTTTTACCAAAGAGGATACACAGATGGGACATAAGCACGGGAACAGATGTTCAATGTCATTAGCCATTAGGGAAATTCAAATTCAAACCACATGAGATATAACGAAACACCAGCTAGAACAAGGTACAGCACGGGATGGAGTCAGTGATGTGATTTGCTGAGGGATAGTCACTAGACTTACCATGGTGATCGCATTATAAGGTATATAAATGTCAGGTTACTATACTGTACACCTGAAACTAGTGTATTGGATGCCAACTATACTATAATAATTGTTTTTAAATGATAAGAATACTCGATGCTGGTGAGGATGCAGACCCTGGACCCGTCCTCCACTGCTGGCGGGAATCCAGAACACCACAGACCCTGTGGAACACTTGGGCAATTTCTTATAAAACTAGCCATGTACCCACTGTGTGATCCAGCCATCGGACTCTTGGACATGGATGACAGAAACAGAACATACCCCCATTCAAAAATGTTTACATCAGTCTTCACAGCCACTTTATTCATCAGAGCTTCAAACTGCTGGGAATGATACGAGCGATTTTAGGGCTGACTGCTTAAAGCCAGGGTATCGCCTCTACAGGACAGGGAGACACTACTCAGCAATAAAAAGGGGTGCATGTTAGGGTGTGGAATGAATCTCAAGGGTATTGTGCTGAGCGGAAAACAATCCTGGAAGTTACATGCTGTATGATTCCATTTAAGTAGCATTTTCAAAACGACAGAGAACAAGAGAACGTGTGCCAGGGGCTGGGAATGGGGAAGTGGTTCCGGGGGGAGCGGTATGAGTGTGGACCTGACAGGAAGGACAGCAGATGGGAGATCTTAGCGGTGACGGACCAGTTGAGCATCTTCACTGTGCTGGTGATTACACAAAGGTATCCCTGAGATAAAACTGTGTGGAGCTGCACACACACACACACACACACACACACACACACTCTCACACACTCACACTCTCACACTCATGAGTGCACGGAAGACCTTGTGAAATCTGAATAAGGGCCATGACCTGTCTGCAGAGGTGTAGCACTTGGTGTACAGCCGGTGCTCTGTCGGTGCTCACTGAGTGGAGGGGTGAGGGAATTCACGAGTGAAGGCATTAAATTTAAATGGCTTCCAGAATTACTTCGTGAATTATTGACTCATCATGAATTGCAAAAGAAGCTGGGGATACTTATCATTTGCTCCAAAACATCCTAGGAGCAGCCATGTTCCCCTATAATGTGATCTGTAATGTGATTTTTCCGAAGCAGACTGAGCAGCTGAGAGATCTGACTCGATATGAAATTGCTCATGTTTTGTACTTCTTGTTTAACCATAATGCTGTGATTGGACAAAGGAGTAGAGTAGTACAAGCAGCTGGTATAACAGGATAGGGGAAGACATTTAGACTCTTCTTAATAGAGTCCTTTCAGAACCTAAAATTATCTTTTTGTGTCAACGTGTAAGACAGGAGTCGCACTGACCTAGAGCAGGTGTAGAATAGTGCAGACGGCTGGCATAACTGGATAGCGGGGGACATTTCAGATTTTCCAAATAGAGTCTCGTCAAGACTCAAGGTTGCCTGTTTGCGTTAGGCAACCTTGTGAGATGCCTGCATTTCGAGGGTCAGCGGGGTGACCAAGCAGACAAGCCCACTAGCCTGAAAGTCGGCGGCTGCAGTGACTGCCCACAAAGACCCAGGAGGCTGTGGTCCTGCTTTGCCATTCACGCCGTTTTTGCCTTTCACACAAGGCTGCACTTCCAATGCCCTGGGAACTCAGGACAGGGATTTGTGTGTGTAAGTCGACGAGTGCACGAGGTCCCCTTGAACTCCAATGTGAAGCTGTGTGATATCTTTAGCCTTAGCACCCAGTGCTTAAATTGAAAATATATCTTCCAAGGCAGAAGACTAATTTCGGTGGTAAAACAGCCCTGTTAGAAGCTGTGAATCCCAGGCTCGTGATCCATCATCCATTCATGCAAACCCCGTTGAATCTGTTCGCAGCAGCACCAGAGACAGAATGACAAAGGAGGTCACCCAGGAGGTCTGCACAGCCTACTGGGAGGCAGGCACGCAAACACGGTCACGGTGCAATGTGATGATACCACGCGTGAGGTCAGGCAGGCGCCGGGGAGAAGGTGCCATGATGCCCTGGAAACATCCGGGAAGAGTTCCCAGAGAGGCTGTGCCCTGCGAGGAGCACTGAAAGGGCCCCGCTTGGCAGACGGTGAGAGGGCATTCCAGGCCGAAAAAGCCAATGGACGCCAAGGTTCAGGCTGTTAAAACCTGGACATACTCAGGAGTGGAATGTACTCGGCTGTCTCAGTGCTCTTCACATTTATTTTTGCTCCCTCCTGCCCTCTAAGAGACTTTGGGAAAAACTCTCCACCCCACATGCAGTCCAACATCTAAAAAATTCAATCATAGGTTTCAGCAAATAATAGAATGTCTGGTATACTGCTTTAAGTCGTTGACATCTTAAGTTTACTTTTCTAAATGTACCCTCAGTCACAGAGCAGTTTGGTGATCACTGTCATCTATTTAAAACAGTGTGTGAGCAGGCACGTTTTTACCGTTGGGAAATGGCTCCCGATCCTCCTCCTCTCTGCATTTGTGTTTCCGTTTCATCTCCCCAGTAGAACTTTGTACTCATGCAGCGTGTATGTGCTTATTTTCTCAGTCTTTAATTGCTTACCTGTTTGTCTGCTAAAGGTGTATTTTGAATGAAATACATCTTTCGCAATAAGTTTTCTAGCTAAACTTTCGATTTTGATACGGTTGTGTATTTACATGGGGTTGTAGAAAGGACACAAGAGAGTCGCCGGAGCCTGTCCCCGTTCTCCTCCAACGGTGGCGTCTCACGGAACTGTCACACACCATGGCATATGGGACATGGACACCAACATGATCGCAAGGTTTAAATTGGTGACGGTTTCTTTTGAAATGATTGCTTGTCCAAAACGGATAAAACCCACATTTTGAAGTGTTGATCAATGACGAGTGAACGAAACGGGAATGTGTATTTTAATGAGCTGAGTGCGGCTCTTCTTTCCCACATTAGTTCTGGTGTCCGTGGATGAAGAGTAATTATTGCTGTAGCAAGACAGGGTTTAGTATCCATTATGTCGCTGTTAAAAAGTTCCGTAGCTCTCAGCACTGAGAAACGCTGCTCACATAGATAAGTAAACGGGGCAGCGGGGTGCAGGGAAGAGTTCCCTTTGGTTGAGGAGCGAGTGGGGTGCCGAGGTGGAAAACAGAGGAAAAGGAGGTGTGGAGGGGGAGCTGGTTTGGGTTTGGACGTGTCCGGTGTGGGGTTTCTACAAGTCTGTCTCTGAAGGGGCTTCAACAGAAGGAGGGGAGGGGCAGGCCGTGGGGATATCCTAGCCACGGAAGGAGAGAGAGGTCAGAGAACGTCCTGGGGCCCCCCAAATGCAAGGGCTGCAGAGGTGAGGTCAGCAGAGGAAATTCTGGCCAGGTTAGAGAAGAATAGGAGTTACACACTTCGGAGTGTCCTGAGCCAGCATTCTTCTTTCCCTGTTCCAGAAAATGTCTCTCCTGCCAGGGAACATCCAGGTGTCCCCATCGTAGCATGAGCAGCACTGCCCAGTGTGCATGGGACCCAGGAACTGCGTGGGTGGAACTTGAACCTGGCAGAAGCCTTGAATGATAGAGTGGCTAGGTCCTTCATGTACAAAGGAGCAAATGGGCTCTTCAGCAGGTCACCCCTAGGGGCCTTCATTTCCTTGTATATATGAAATGGGGCAATAAGCATGCGGAATAATACCTGGTGCATAGTAGGGCCTCAAAAATATTTGCTTTATGAGTAGCAGCAGCAATAACAGCAATAGTGTAGAAGTTTCCAATATTGTGTGTCTATGTTTGACCTCCCTGCATTTGCCCACAGCCTCCCACCTCCCTCTCAACCCAGAGACTTCCGGTGCCCTGGGAAGATACTGGCTCCTTTATAAAGAAAAGATGTGTGTGTTCAGGGGCCCAGCTGCTTGCAATGGTACAGCAGCTTCTAAGACACAAAGGGAGTCTCCTT